CACGGCTTGGAAAACAATCCTCGGGTGTTTTGACTCAATTTAAAAAAATGAAAAAAATTTAAATGTCTGTGGGTCCAGAAGGAACCAAGACTGATCTCAGGGTGTGGCCTATAGGAACATTGATCAGAATCAAAATCAGGATTCTGATCTCAGGGTGTGGCCTATAGGAACATACTGTAGATCAGAATCTGAATTTTCAGGGTGTGACCTATAGGAACATAGATCAGAATCAGAAATCTGATCCTGATCTCAGGGTGTGGCCTATAGGAACATTGATCAGAATCTGTATTCTGTCTCAGGGTGTGGCCTATAGAAACATACTGTAGATCAGAATCAGAATTCTGATCTCAGGGTAGGCCTATAGGAACATAGATCAGAATCTGAATTCTGATCTCAGGGTGTGGCCTATAGAAACATACTGTAGATCAGAATCTGAATTCTGATCTCAGGGTTTGGCCTATAGGAACATAGATCAGAATCTGAATTCTGATCTCAGGGTAGGCCTATAGGAACAGCGAGTCTGCTTTCTTGCATCTCAGCAGCCAGACTCAGCGTCCCCTGCATCTGATCTTCACACCTGCCGTCATTATGAATCACGACTGTTTGAGTCATTCAGGAAATGTGGAAAAGTGGCAGCGCACCTCAAATGAACCTGGGGAAGAAATGAAGACTTCATTTTCAGAATACGACTCAAAAAATATCATTAACCTGAACTGCACAACTGAAAACTAAAGCCCTGAGGAAAATTTGTCAGCGGCCAAATTAATGTGTCAGAGGAGCCGCTCTCTACTTTTCATTTATGGCCTCATCTCATCCCATCATTACACATCCATCAGACCCTCGGTAATAAGAAACGAAGACTTTCTCTGGTGCAGCAGAGACGTCAGTGCTTTCCAGGGTATCGGTCCTGTGATCCCTCCCAAACACCGTGGATCATTGCAGCATCATGCTTTGTGCGTGCACACACACTGGCTAATGAGCAGTGTGAGGACACATGGATGCCTACCTGCAGCCAATGAAAGCAGCTCCTGTCCCAGGAGAGGTGCACAGTGTAGACGGGCATCACCGACATGTTTGTGTGTTGACTGTAGTCACATCAGGGAAAAATGAGTGTGTGCACATCAGCCTGGTTTTAAATATGATCTCATCAGTCCGTGACACAGAAACATTAGAGAGTCTAATGTTCCTGGCAGATTACAGGACGAAACAAACCAAGCATGACAACGCACAAACCCATCACCGCCATGCTGAGGTAAGCAAGACAATGATCAGCAGATCGATCAGCGACCCCTGCTGATTCCACTGGGTTGGTCGGGGGGGTCCTTTCATTTCTCCCTCTGGGTACATAAAGCAGTTTCCTCCAAAGACAGAGATGAAGCAGCTCTTCACACACAAACAGTTCAATCTTTTAAGTTGCATTTTTCTCATCATCTCACTCCCTCACTCTCTCATCAGTTCAGTGACTTCTCACACTCCCTCCCTTCAGTTATCACACTTCATTTTCCATTTCAGTTCAGGAGGTTTCAGCTGCTTTCAACTCGTATGCTCCAAAGACACATCATCAACAGGCCAGATGCTAGAGGTTCGACAACTGAGGGCTACGCAGCCACAAACGCTTCCAGCTACACAAGGAGGGTGTGACACAAACTTGTGCAGCAAAATGCATCATCCAAACATTTCTAACCAAAGACCAGTGTCATTTCATGTGTTTCTGATATGGACATTAAAGCCAATACTGTCACTGTACTCTCAAGTCTCTGTTACAGAAGAAGAGCTGTTTACAGTGTCAAATAAATAAATAAATAAAAAAAAAACAGAGGGCTGTGTGAAGCTGTTCATGTTCACCAGCATCTTTAGCAAATGCTTTTCTTCTTCTACCGGCGACGATTCAGCAGAAGCAAAATGATGCACTCCTCTTCAGTGGCTATTTTAGTTTCTAGAGGATAAATCACATGACCTGATCAGGACCAATGGCCAGCGACTCCTGCCCCCTGTTGGCTGAGCGGTGTATGGCACCTACCATGATGCAGGGCAGCCACCGCTAACGTACAGAAACACTTGCCTGACCCTTGTGTTTCCATGATTTGTGTAGAGTTTGGAACAGCTCTTAAACATTTAAATCCGTAGCGATGTTTGCACGGGTGTAAGCACAAACATTTTCCCCACAAAAGTTTTCTACTGCTTTACAGTTTTTTTTTTTATGGTGCTGTGTTTTGGCATCGCATTTTGGTCAAATCCTCACTAGTCCTGGGGAAATGTGGCCTAATGGGGTTCAAATGGTACACAAACAGGAAGAAGGTTATTTGTTGGGGACTATTTTCTGTGGCGGATGAATTCACATTTGTTTCTAATGAGTAGGAAGGTGTACAGCATGTGGCTCAGAATAAACTACAGCTGAACTTCTCCAACGACGTTTCTGTTTCTGAGAGAGGAAATTCTTCTTGTCAGATGTTATTCATTATGACTTATTATCATTAACTGCACTCATTTATGGGCATGTAGTGTGTGGACCACATTAGAATCAGAGTAAATTAACTTCCCCATCACAGCCTCGTCTTCGTTTTGCTTCGTCCTTCAAGTCGCCGTGACACTGCTGCTGGTGAATCCCCTGGGAAAAGAGAAAATACAAACAAAATGAGACTGATAGAGAAAATAACACGAACTCATAAGACAAACACATCTGTTAAATGTGGCGGTGGCATACCGGGGCACAGAAACCCACAGGTATGTCCCTGCAACACACTCACTTTAACAGACTGTTTCAGTCACACTACTGTGAGAAATTAGAAACAAGGTTATGTTGCTCTGCGGTCGTCTCTACCGAACTGGGTCGAAACCAGTCAGACCGAAGATTATTTCAGTCTACAGTTTTGTTTTGTGACCTGTTTTGGTCATTTTTCATTTCTTTTTGGTGGTCACACAAAGGGTCAGGTCCAGGGGGCCCCGGGGTCTGTGCCCGGTCAGCCTGTTCTATCCCTGTCAGAGGAAACTGAATTATAATCCTCTACATCAGTAACAGTCAAGATTGTCAGTAATCTACAGAAAACACACAAACTCACAGAAAAGCCAAACACGTCAAATTAATTTCACCTGTGACATCAACACCAAATTCCACTGTGTTGGTCCCAATTTATTTTTCTCTCTCAGACATAAACGGACTAGAAAATGAAATCAGAATAAGGATTTCATTTTGAAGGGGTGGTGTGAGGAGACGCACACACCCAGACACACAAGCAGCCGAAGCCTCGAGCGACAGGATTAACTGTCGTTAGCATTCATGAGGGCAAACATATTCTTCAGTACTATATTGATGTCACGTCTCCCACTGAGAGCCAACACAATTTAAAGGCAAGTGACGCTATAAATTGCAGGACTGACTTTTCCTTTAGGGCAAAATGAGAACTGTGGGTGCACTACAGCCACACACACACATATACAGCATACACATGCACACATACAGAATCTATTTCCACCTTTCCTACTTAAATAAACGCACACGCACTTAAACCTGCGACCCCCAGGGACATGACAAATGAGTCGGAATGTGGTGACAAGCAGGAAAATTGGAGCAACACAGATTAGTGGAGCTAATATAAACAGAATGTGAGTAACTCAGCTGTATTAAAGGATTCAACTCCTTCATTCTGTATTCATAACGTTATGGAAGGTCTCTGCATATCCACATTTGTTTTCCTGAATTTTGTCGTCTATCACCTGCCCCTCATGGCCGGATTAACCTCCTGTGGGGCTCTGAAGCAAGCATTTGTTGTTGGGCCCCTGCTGCCCCCCCATGCTGAAACACACAGAAACAAACCAGCACTTCTGAGAGTTTGATTACTTGACTGAAAGAAAATGAACTGGCAACAATTCTGAAAGACGAGGAGTTGTTCGAGACAAATTCACTGGTACCAGCTCTGTCAATCTGAATATGTGTAGTTTTCTCAGTTTTCTCTGAAATAAACATTTTGATTT